CGGGTTCGAGTCCCGGCGCCGGCAAAACCCCACCCCCGTGGTTTTCTCTTCCCGAGAGAATCACAGAATCAACTCGGTTGGAAAAGACCTCTGGGATCATCGAGTCAGACCTGTGACCCAACCTCCCCATGGCACTAAGAGCCACGTCCAGTCTTTCCTTGAACACCTCCAGGGAACGGTGATTCCACCAGCTCCCTGAGCAGCCCCTTCCAAGATCTAATCACCCTTTCTGCAAGGAAATTCTTCTTAATGTCCAACCTAAACCTCCCCTGGTGCAGCTTAAGACTGTGTCCTCCTATCACTAGGTGCTTGGAGAAGAGGCCAACCCTCACCCGGCTACAACAGATAGTAAAGGTGAAATTCCTCCCTGACACAGCAATATCCTTAAGGAAAGCACAGGAGGCCTGGCCTTCACCCATTCCCACTTAACCCTGCAGCCCTGGGTCACTGTGCTGAAGGCTCTCCCCTCTCCAGAGTGCCTGTGTCAGGAAAACAGGGCAGAGCAGGTTGGGAAGCCGTGGAAGGAGCGCCCGCTACGCCCGCCCGGCCACGGGGGAAACGCCTCCCGCAGAATTCCTTGGAGGCTGCCAGGACAAGCCTTTCATCCCGGCGAGTTTCTCCCGGGAGTGTGGGATCGCCACGCCCAGGCAACACGGAGCTGTGGCCAGCAGGGAGCTGTTGGCAGGACAGTTACGGAGCCACGGCCGGCCCTGCCTGTACTTGTCCTTCCCCGGGTCTCAGGCAGCCCTGGACTATGAGTTCTGGCTTTTTAGGCTCCCTGAGCACTCAGGTTTGCTTGATCTCAGCACTAATGTCAGTTTTAAACCCCCACCCAGAAACGCAACCCCCAGTTCCCACTGAACAGACAACACTATTTCCTCTCATCTGAACGGTTCAATTAGGAGGGAAGAAAAAACCCCTCGCTGAGGCAATTTTTATTACAAAATCTTTCTAAAATAAACCAAAAAATTTTCTACAAATAAATTAAAAAATATAAACACTCTGCTCCACCCCCGAGACCAGGAGCCAGCCTGGATTGGGGAGCAGATCCCAAGGCTGTGGCAGTCCCTGCTCAGTGGGACTGGGACCTGAGGCTGCCCAGGGCAGGGTGGGACGCCCGGACAAAGGCCATGTCCTGCCTGTACTTCATGGCAGTGGGGGGCTGGCGCCGGAGCAGCTGGTCCCCCATGTCCTGGGGCTCAGGGTCGTCGTAGATGGTGGAGATGAGGATGGGATTGTCCCTCCGGGGCTTCTTCCCCTTGAGGAAGGTTGGCAGCTTCTCCCCATGGTACCTGGAGGGAAGCAGGAAAGGTTTGGTTGGGGGTTGGTGAGGCAGCCAGGAAACCCTGTGCTTCCCTGATCATTTCCTTCACATGATCATGGAATCAGGGAATGGTTTGGGTTGGAAGGGACATCTTCCACTAGACCAGGTTGCTCCAACCTGGCCTTGGACTCTTCCAGAGATGGGGCAGCCACAGCTTCTCTGGGCAACCTGTGACAGTGATACAGGGAAGATATGGACCAATATGGATTCCTGTGCTATTCCTGGCTGCTCTAGAACAAGAGTCAGCCCTCATGGTCAAACACAGCACCCCACAAAGCCTCCACAGGGCAGGTAGGGTGGGGACCCTCAGTCCTTCCTCTGTGTCTCTGCTGCAGGACCCTGCACATGGTTCCAGTCCTGCTCTAACTCCACAGTCTCCACTAAGGAGCCCTGGACTATCAGGAAGAGGAGTGTATTTAGCTCTGGAGAGCTGTGGCAGCCCCAGCTGTGCAGGGAAAGGCAGATTCCTGGGACAGCCTTCAAGTTCTGGTTCCCACTCTGCTCCAGCCACTCAGCTGGGAGTGCTGAGAGCCCAGGCAGAGCTCTGAGCACAGGCTGGCATTTGGGTACTTACCCCAGCCCCCTTTTGCATCTGGGGTTCTGACCCTCGTTATCCAGAGCTTCAGCCATCCCAGAGTTGCTGCTCCCCAGGCCCAGGCCCTCTGTCCAGCCCTGCTGCTCCAGCACCTTCCTGCCAAAGCCCTGAGAGGAGGGGAAAACATCACACAAACATCCTTTGTTGGACAAAGCCCAACCTCATCTTCCCAGAGCTTTCTGCCCCCTCCCCACATCCAAGGCCACTCCTCCCCCTAATCCACATCCTCTGGGCACCATCACCACCCCAGCCCTTCCTGCCCTGCCCCTGAGCTGGTGTCCAGAGCTCACCTTGGTGTATCTCTCGAAGGTTCCAATCTGCTGCCCTGACACAGACCCCTCCTCCAACCCATCCCGGAGCCGCTGCTCCAGCCACATCTGCACCGAGTCCCGAGCATCCTTATCACCTCCATCTAGGGAGAAAGAAGCCAGAGTCAGGGCAGCACAGCTCAGGGAAGCTGTACAGCTCTGTCACTTCCCCCAGAGCACCAGGCAGAGGAGGCAGAACCTGTTCTTTTTGGCAACTCTCACCGCCAGACCAGAAAAACACTGTTTCAATTCAGTGACGTCTTGGACGCTTTCAAAGGATGACAGAGGCAAAGAGCTCCCCAGATTCTGCAGGGTCAGAATTTCCCAGCCTCCCTGGTCTCCTCAGGATGGGGGGGGGAGGTTCAGCTCTGATACCTTTGTCATAGTAGATGCTCATGTCCACGTCCCAGTCGTCCGCTGTCTGCTCGTCAAAGTCTGCCAAGAGAAGGAAAGGAGCAGTTTTGGTGAAGTCTGACACACAAGGGCTGTTTGCTGGTAGTCCAGCTCCCTATTTTCTCTAACAAAATGGGAAGGAATCACAGAATCATTAAGGTTGGAAAAGACCTCCAAAATCTTCAGGTCCACCCTGTGCCTAATCCCCACCTTGTCCCCCAGCCCAGAGCACTGAGTGCCACATCCAGTCGTTCCTTGGACACCTCTAGGGATGGGGACTCCATCACCTCCCTGGGCAGCCCCTTCCAATGTCTGACAGCCCTTTCAGTGAAGATATTTTCCCCAAAATCCAACATGAACCTCCCCTGGCACAACTTAAAGCCATTTTCTCTCCTCCTGTCCCTCGTTCCCTGGGAGCAGAGCTCGACCCCCCCCTGGCTCCCCCCTCCTGCCAGGGAGTTGCAGAAACAAGAAGGTCCCCCCTGAGCCTCCTTTTCTCCAGGCTGAGCCTCCCCAGCTCCCTCAGCTGCTCCAGCCCCTTTTCCAGCTCCACTCCCTTCTCTGGACATTCTCCAGCCCTTCAATGTCTCTCTTGCAGTGAGGGCCCAGAATGGGGTGCAGCATTTGAGGTGGTGCCTCAGCAGTGCCCAGCACTGAAATGGCATTAGAGACTCCCCAAATCCCAGTGCCCACAGAAGAGGCAGAGGCAGCACCACTGGGGTCTCTGGTGACTGGATTGTGATCAACTTGCCAGTTTTGTGACCAAGGGAAGATTAAAAAGTGATGGCAAGATGCCAGTGGCTGCAGCTGAGCCAGACTTTGCAGGGGGTTAAACCTGCTCCTGGGGGTTGGTGGGGGCTCAGTGACACAAACACCAACGTCACCTCCGTTCTCCTCCTGCCAGAACTGGGCATCTGTGTAGAACACGAGGCCAGAGCCTCCTTTCTCCCACTTGAGCTCGATCTCCTCCTCGAAGAGCCGCTCCTCCACACGGCCCTGCTTGGTCACGTCCTCGTGCAGGGCCTCGTGCCGCTCCCACTCCTCACAGGTGTCATTGTCCTGCAGGGGAGGTGGCACAGGGTGGGTGACACCAGCACAGCCCCCTCCCTGCCCCCTGACCCCATCCCAGCACCCTCCCTGCGGAACAGCCCCGCTGACAGAGCTGGTCCCAGCCTGCAGCTCTCAGGCCCCGACACGACGGGTGCGATGAGCTCATTCCTTGACTAATGCCACTTCCAGAGTCAGCACTGAGAAATCCCACACCTCACACCCACTGCAGGGATGCCCATTTAAGGAGCAGGTGTGCTGGACCTGGAGTCAGCACTAAGCAACGAATTAATTCCACTCCAGTTGATCCCTAAGGAGATTGTGTGGGTTTCCCGGGAAGCAGCTCGCTGGCACAGGCACAGGGCAGGCTGACAGCTCCACTGCTGCCTGCCCAGCTCTGGGCACAGCCCTTCCAGGGCAGGAACAGCCAAAAGAACGGCTGGAGATCCAGGAAACAGCCTGTGAGAAACAGCTGGAGGAGTCTGTTTAGTCTGGAGAAGGAAAAGCTGAATAAAAGGAGGGAACAAAGTGCACTCTGTGCCTGCTGTTGCCAGGAAAAACTAATGGGGTGGAACTGCAGCAAAGATTTGGCATCTGAGTTAGTTCTGGTAGAGGAAAGAACGGGAATGGCTTGCCTGGGGATCTGTAATGACAGAGGTTTGGGAGAACAGGCCAGACAGGCGTCTGCCAGGCAGGGATGGCTCCACAGAGCCTGCCCTGCCCAGGGCTCCAGGAGCCTTTGTCACAAAGGCCATTTTCCTCACAGTGACTAAACTTCAGTCCCAGGAGCATTCGAGGTCAGCCATTTGTGCAGCTCTGCATGTCCTTTTCCAGCACACAAACATGGCCCTGAGCCTCTGGTCACCTCATTTGTAGGCAAAGCAGAGCTGGGCCAATCTGCCAGGGTCTGCTCTGCAGCATCAGCTCCTTGGGCCAAACCCCCTGGGCTCAACTCCCACCAGAGCCTTTGGGATAAATCTTGACCAAACCCTTTATGCCCAACCCTTACAACCACCTTGCTCTGGACAAGCAGTTTTTGGGGGGTTCATGCCCCCACTGCCCATGCAGTGAACAATTCTATTTTAACATCATTTTTTTAGACATGTAATTTTTACAATACAGTCAAAGATTAAAATTGAGCTCTGCATGCCCTCCCAGCTCTGCTGGGCTTGGATAGTGCTGGAATATTCCACTTACATCATCTGAGTGAGACTCCTCTTCCTCCTGCTGCCTCTCCTCCTCCTCCTCGGGCCCAGCTGGGTGAGTCACCCCCGGGGCTGGCTCTGGCCCCTCTCCCTCGGTGATCTCATCCCCTGCAGCCGTGTAAACTCCTCCTTCCTCCACCACTGTCTCAGTGTCCTGGTATTCAAAGGGCACATTCCCATACCTCCGGGATGAGCCAGTCTTTGGGAAATCCAGCTGCAGCTTCTTGATAATCCAGGGAGGCAGCCGGCAGGCCCGGATCAGCTCCAGGAACACGCTCAGGGGGGTGCCCACGTTCCCAAAAGGCATGAAGGAGGGGGGGTTGAACTCGGGCAGGCGCTTCAGCTCCGCCTCTGTCACAGATTCCCCGGCAGCCGTCTGGTCCTGGCTGCTGGGAGACGCCTCTGAGCCTGGAAAAGAGAAGGAATGTTTGGGGGGAGGCC